ACTGACTAGCTTGGATGTAAATTAAATATAAGAATTTTGACAGTGGATATTATCAAGGTATGTTCCCTCCTCAGAAATACTAAGAATAAAGATATTTTGTGAGATAAGATAACGAAGATATGATCCATAGGTAGACAGCTTTCTTCTCAACAATGTATTCCTGTTGAGAAAGTGGTGACACAGCTATTTATCTCTTTAATGCTGGAGTGGAATCAATATCGGAGTAAGTCTCCACAGGTAATCAATAACCTCATGTTGTACTGTCGGGTATAACCATTCATGAAATATTACTACACCACCCATATACAAACTGCAATATATGGTATACTCAAAAACCTACTCAAGCATGCAGAGTGACTGGCTGCCGTGTTAGCACGGATGCTTTGCATATCAGCCTAGAAATGGAATCGCACACCTGGTAAACAAAGTGTGTCGCTAATAGATTAATTATAGATTTGGACAAGTCACTACACGATTTATAGGAAATATCAGAATGAAGAATTTTCCGTAGAGACCTTTAATATTGTATGGTTCAGATATTGATATCATGTATGAAAATAAATACAAATATCTTGGCATCATGCTATGTTTTTTTTAAGGATCAAAACACGACAGCAGCAGCGTATAGAACAGATATGTATGGTTACAATCGTGGTTGATATGGTTATACACCAATGTACAGCCAGTCTAAGTGTGTACAGCCAGTCTAAGTGTGTACACCCACGGCTCTGTACAGCCAGTCTAAGTGTGTACACCCACGGCTATGTACAGCCAGTCTAAGTGTGTACACCCACATCTTTGTCTTTGCTGCTGCACATGCATGCTATTTATACATCACAAAACCTGGACGTGTCATGGACATGTCCTGCCATATGTGCAAAATCAGCAAAGTCAAAAACTGGATATGTTTATTTTTTTGTTTTGTAAACAATCCTGCCTTTCCTTCTCTCTGCTCTATCATGTCAAATTGTTTCCAATACAAAAATATACTGGAAATGAAAGAACACAGAAAGCAAGCTTGGGGTGGGGGATTGAAAGCTGGGTGAGCTATAGGGGGTAGTGATAGAGTTTTCACCTACTGACATAAAAAGGGTGTAGTCACTTTTCTTGCCTTGCTAGAGTAGCAGGCTATTTGTAACAAAACTGATGGAGAAAACAGCATCCACTCAATCTTCAATAAAGAATATCTGCTTTCTCAACGGCTAGAAAACAAATCATTTCTACGGTGGAGCATGGTGTGCAGGGCCTCATTGTCCAATTATATATCCCTACGTATACTGGGATAAAAGTACAATTCTTTATAAACACACCCAACTATAATGCCCTCCTGAGTTTTGGTCCAAGTAGAATGAAGGTAATAGACAAACATTAAATCATCACTTTGGTTTTATTTTAGCTCAGCTGGGCTTGACCTAGTTAGCTTATGACATAGTGAGGTGTTTGTTGTCCATACTGCTGGAAGTTTGAAAAATCTAAATGACTTCATCTGAATTTCCAAGAGACTATGGGTGATGGGCAAGTTTGTCTATATAAATGATTGTGACCCACTTTCAAGGTGAACTCTTTTGTAGCAGTAGCATGATGGGATGAATGGCTGTAACTTTGTTAAAATATATGACCTTAACCCACTTTTAATGTAGCAAGAAAAATATGTTAAACCTTTAAACAGCTTCTTGTTAATAAGCAAGATGAATAGGATGATTTAACCTGTAGCATGCTGGAATAAAAGGCTATCACATTTGTAATAAATGACCTTATTCTGCATTCAAGGTTACAGATTAAACATTTTGAAACATTTAAACAATTTCTGTATTATGGTTAAGAGGCCTAGGTTTATAATATTTGGCCAGTAGTATGCTTGATTAGAGGTCTTAACATTTATTCAAATATATCTCATTTGGCGTTTTCAAGATCACAGGAATCAAATGTGTTCAAACCTTTGAACAACTTCTGAATATTTGGCCTGTAGCTTAATGGTGTTAAGTGCTATTGATTCATAAGTGTAGAGTAATACAATCTACAAAGGCCCTAAAATTAATATGTAGATTAATGACACTTGGCCAATTTAAATAGTTTTAACCTTGACCTCTTTGAAGGTCACAGATTTAAGATGAATAACAGATGAGTGATACAGGATCATTGGGCCTCTTGTGTATTTGTTAAGTTCTTGTTGATTTGAAATTGACTAACAATGTCATTGTGAGTTTATAAGGCTGACAATGTCATTGTGGGTTTATGAGGCTGACAATGTCATTGGGGGTTTATGAGTCTGACAATGTCATTGCGGGTTTATGAGTCTGACAATGTCATTGCGGGTTTATGAGTCTGACAATGTCATTGCGGGTTTATGAGTCTGACAATGTCATTGTGGGATTATGAGGCTGACAATGTCATTGTGGGTTTATGAGGCTGACAATGGCATTGTGGGTTTATGAGGCTGACAATGTCATTGTGGGATTATGAGGCTGACAATGTCATTGTGGGCTTATGAGTCTGACAATGTCATTGTGGGATTATGAGGCTGACAATGTCATTGTGGGTTTATTAGGCTGACAATGACATTTTGTGTTTATGAATCTGACAATGTCATTGTGGGTTTATGAGTCTGCCAATGTCATTGTGGGTTTATGAGTCTGCCAATGTCATTGTGGGTTTATGAGGCTGACAATGGCATTGTGGGTTTATGAGGCTGACAATGCCATTGTGGGTTTATGAGGCTGACAATGTCATTGGGGGTTTATGAGTCTGACAATGTCATTGCGGGTTTATGAGTCTGACAATGTCATTGTGGGATTATGAGGCTGACAATGTCATTGTGGGTTCATGAGGCTGACGATGACATTGTGGGGTTATGAGTCTGACAATGTCATTGTGGGATTATGAGGCTGACAATGTCATTGTGGGATTATGAGGCTGACAATGTCATTGTGGGTTTATGAGGCTGACAATGTCATTGTGGGTTTATGAGGCTGCTCACACCAACACAATATTACTGGCATTCATTTGGAAACTGTAGACATTTATAAGGTTTGTGTTGAACCTCATGGTGTCCTTAGTATATTCTGGCTGTTATATTTATGACTTGTTGCATACATGTAAACAGACAGGAATGCTAGTAACCAAATACTTCGTTAATCAAACAAGATTTCTAATGGAGCAGAATTTCACATTTTGTTTCATGATAGTGGTAGGAAGCTTGAGGAGGTACAGCTGTATTAATTTAAAGTTGAGATGTTTTGTAATGAGTCCACAGCAGAAAGGCCTTATAGAAGTCTACACTAGCCTTAATTGTTGTTGCAGTTACATTGTTTGATGGTAGAGTCGGCTGACTTTGATCTCCTTCTGTTCTTCAGATCATTACAGTATCAGAGAGGAAATTACAATATTCCATCCTTTGCTTTGCAGATTACAGTTGTAGTTTTGCATCAGAATGCAATAAATTGGATGTTGGTATCTGGAGTTTCAATATGAATTTATAATTTTTGGTGTTTTACAGGATGCAACGTCATATATCTGAAAGGTAGAAAAGGAATTCTAGGTACAATGAAAACTAATCAATAAATATCTCTAGTTTTCAGTTGATCTCCAAGCATTAAATGGGGACACTTTTTCTTCTTCCAGTTTTGTTGGAATGTGTTTATTTCATTTGCACAAAACAGACTTTAATTCTTTCAAGAGAAGCACTCCCTTAAAATATGCCTCCAAAGAATGGTATAGGTTATATCAGCAACAATGTGTCATGTTTCTAATATTAATTTTTTTCGTTGTCCTTTCCAGATGCGCCGGAGAGGGTCCAGAAGTAGTATAGGTTATATCAGCAACAATGTGTCATGTTTCTAGTATTAATTTTCTTCGTTTTCCTTTCCAGATGAGCAGGAGAGGGTCCAGAAGAAAACGTTCACCAACGTTTCTAGTATTAATTTTCTTCGTTGTCCTTGCCAGATGAGCAGGAGAGGGTCCAGAAGTAGTATAGGTTATATAAGCAACAATGTGTCATGTTTCTAATATTAATGTTCTTCGTTGTCCTTTCCAGATGAGCAGGAGAGGCTCCAGAAGTAGTATAGGTTATATCAGCAACAAAGTGTCATGTTTCTAATATTAATTTTCTTCGTTGTCCTTCCCAGATGAGCAGGAGAAGGTCCAGAAGTAGTATAGGTTATATCAGCAACAATGTGTCATGTTTCTAATATTAATTTTTTTCGTTGTCCTTTCCAGATGCCCCGGAGAGGGTCCAGAAGTAGTATAGGTTATATCAACAACAATGTGTCATGTTTCTAATATTAATTTGCTTCCTTATCCTTTCCAGATGAGCAGGAGAGGGTCCAGAAGAAAACGTTCACCAACGTTTCTAGTATTAATTTTCTTCGTTGTCCTTTGCAGATGAGCAGGAGAGGGTCCAGAAGTAGTATAGGTTATATCAGCAACAAAGTGTCATGTTTCTAATATTAATTTTCTTCGTTGTTCTTTCCAGATGAGCAGGAGAGGGTCCAGAAGTAGGATAGGTTATATCAGCAACAAAGTGTCATGTTTCTAATATTAATTTTCTTCGTTGTTCTTTCCAGATGAGCAGGAGAGGGTCCAGAAGTAGTCTAGGTTATATCAGCAACAATGTGTCATGTTTCTAAGATTAATTTTCTGCGTTGTCCTTTCCAGATGAGCAGGAGAAGGTCCAGTAGTAGTATAGGTTATATCAGCAACAATGTGTCATGTTTCTAATATTAATTTGCTTCCTTATCCTTTCCAGATGAGCAGGAGAGGGTCCAGAAGAAAACGTTCACCAACGTTTCTAGTATTAATTTTCTTCGTTGTCCTTGCCAGATGAGCAGGAGAGGGTCCAGAAGTAGTATAGGTTATATAAGCAACAATGTGTCATGTTTCTAATATTAATTTGCTTCCTTATCCTTTCCAGATGAGCAGGAGAGGGTCCAGAAGTAGTATAGGTTATATCAGCAACAAAGTGTCATGTTTCTAATATTAATTTTCTTCGTTGTCCTTTCCAGATGAGCAGGAGAGGGTCCAGAAGAAAACGTTCACCAACTGGATGAATACGTATCTCAAACAGGTTAGTTATAAATTCTCGTCTGGCCATCTCTGGCCTCATCTGTTTAGCCCTTTCATCCCTATGTAACTTTAGAAGACTCTACCATGAATTGATCTGGACGAGTCCATTATGGCCTACAGTGGTGAAAGGGTTAGTAAATTGATATAAGGTGACTCCCAGTTGACCTGTTAATTGTGGTCACCTTTTATCTATAGTTGTGCATCTTATGTCTGTTAACATTTCACATTTTGGACATCTTCTCCAAACTACTGAACTGATTTCAATATAATTGTACAGGAAAACTCCATGGCCGATGGCAAACCAAACTTATGAATTATGCGGTATATGGATCAAACCCTCAGGTACTCGAGAGTTGGGGCCAAAAGGTGTCAAATTGACTTAACTTTCAAAAAAATCTTCAGACCTTGATATGGTAGAATCAAATATTCTTTATGATGGAAAGATCCTGAAGCGCTTTATCAAATTTGTGAATTTCATAATCCCAAGGTGACCGCTTGTTCCCCCCTGGGGAGGGGTTAACTTTACCATAGCTAATATTAAGGAAAAACTCTTTTGGTTATATTTTGTTTATTTTTGGTGGGAAATAATTCAATTTTGGTCAAATGATGATCAGCCCACCTGTACATCATGCAGCCATCTTGAATTTGGAGAGTTAGAGCCTGTAAGAGCCTTTTCTAGTACTGGAGGTCTTTTCTAGTACTGGAGGTATTTCTCAATGTTCACGTAGGGTTCCCCATGGTCTGTAGTTGTGCATATTGAACTTTGGAACTGACCAGAAAAACAAGAAAAAAACCCTTTGAAATATTGATTGTAAGAAGAAGAGTAGAAGTAATTTGATCTCTGTCGTTCTGATCACGAAGAAAACTTCTAAACATTTCAAGCTTCTTCAAACGATATGCAATGAATTCCATATAATTTTTTCTGTCAATGCCAGTAAATTTCTTTTGTAAAAGTAAATCTATCAGTTAAAAGTGAAAGATTTTTGCCACCATGATTACAGGAATAAATTGATGGCACCAGTTTTTACAAAGCCATTAAGTGTGGCGGCCATGCCCTTACCAATCACTGGTTTATCCCCTGCTGGGTTTGATACAGCTGTTTGTAAACAGATGCTCCCAAAAGTCTGAACAGACAGGGGGAATTAAAATATCAAAGAAACCCAGCTTTATACTCTCAAATATAAACAGAATAGTGTATTGTGAGCTTCATCAGGAACTAGAAATGAATATTGTTCAGACGTGTTACGGTCACCTATGGTGTATACAGTAGGTAAACACTGACAGGAAGACCTCCTCTGTATCATTTTACTGGAGAGGAAATGAGGAGGATTTGTAGTAAATGTAGGAGTATGGGTAACTGAACTTTTATAAACTTGGTATGACTATCATAGATACTGTCATACTGGTACAGGTATCAGGTGCCTGTGGTTACAGTAATAAACATTCACACCTTTAGGCGCGAGATTTGTCGCACCCGTTTATGTCGGTTGTAAGTGGTATGTTAGTGTGACAGGAGGTTAATGTTAGGTAGCAACATCACTTCTCAATGTGTACCTGTTTTATGTGATCTGTCACGTGCAGGTAAATCTGTCTACAAGGATTAGTTCTCTAGGGTACCTGAAATATGCACCTACTGATATGTTTAAACAAGACATTCCTCGTGTTATGAGCTCACCTGCCTGAAGGACAAGTGAGCTTAGTATCTTGTGGTGCAGTATCTGTCATCTGTAAGACATTTGATCATATGTCTCTGTAAGACATTTGATCATCTGACATCTGTAAAACATTTGATCATCTGGCATCAACTTTTTCTTTTAATGTCTTCTTCTTTAGAACCAAAAGGCCAAGGACAATATGAACCTTTGATAGAGTGGTATGAAATTTCCATATAGAAATTACCTTCACTTACTTCAAAGGTCATAGAATTAAAATTCAAGCTGCCAGGTACAATATCTGGAACTGTGATACTTACACAGGTATTACATATATATAGACCATCAGTGCAAATAATTCTTACATTTTAATGAAGGTGTAAGTTTGATATTGAGCACAGACTGGAGTCAAAAGTTAACAAGGGGGTCTTCTTTTTGAAGATCCATAGGCCTATGATCCTGATATTTACCCATTAGGTACACTCTCCCCACCCCCTGACATGTGAAGATGATATTGTAATTATCTGTTAGTTACAACACTATTAGTCACTGGGACTGAAATACCTTGTAACCAAGGTCATAGGTTGCTTCTGGCTACACCATGCCTGAGTGTTAAAGTCATGTGACAGTTTGATAGGTATTGACTAGACCAATCAGTCTACACCTGTTTACACCTGGTTTATATCCTACACTCTACCTGTAAAAGAGTCCAAGCTTCACTGTCATGTTATCTAGGAGCAAATTTTCCTATTTTATGGTCCATTTCCTACATTATGGATAGGGTCACATATAGCAAAGGCTTATCGGTATCAATTTATGTAAATTGTATTTCTGGAGGCCCATCAAATTACCAGTGCTATATGCTACGATGCTCTTTTTCAGATAAGCAGTTTTCAACGCTAGTTAATTATCCAAATTTATAAAGTGACATCACAGTTGATCTTTATACACACATTTTTTTTTTATTTCAAATAAAAATATTGATATTACTTTTTTTGTATTATCAAATACAATAAGCAATAAATAAGTACAGTACATGTGTATCTCCCTGAATCTGGAATCAATTAGTGATTATTCCATATTATGGTATGATAATTGGGACTCTTCTAGTGCTCACACTTGACATTGCTTTCCCAGAAGTTTAGTTTCTGTTGACAAAAAACAAAGTAACTTCTACACTGAAGGAGAAGGAGGTAGGACTTTATATGGCTGTGGTCTCCTTAACGATGCAAATACGGATAATTCAAAATATTTATACAATGCATTGTTTAGGAAATGCAGGTTTTATATGAAATATTCATACATGCGAGAGAAATTTATTCAGTACAAAACAAGACAAACATTGTGTGGACATTCACTACGTTTAAGCTGACGCTGCATTAGTGGGATATTTACACCTGTCACAGTGTGATTAATATATCTCCATTTAAATTATATTATTCAAATTAGAACACATCAAAATATGACCTGTACCTCAAGTTTAAGGAAGGTACACTACTGTTTTATTTTAAAGATTTTCAGTTTAATAACTAGAACATGCTCATGAGTATTCCTACAGTCCTATCCCCCCGGCAAGTCTTCACAATGTAAACAAGTTTTATTTTACAAAGGTGCAACTTTTAAGAATGTATATGTAGGCAAGATAATGAAGTATGTGCATGGAGACCGTGGCTCATGCCCAAGGGGATAAATAATTTCCCCTTGACTGATATCTGTGCATGTAACATAGGTGATCGCTGTTAGTGTCTATAAAATACTTGGTCTATGAAATGCTTAAGTCAATGGGACTCATTATAAATGGAAGGTGTGGCCTAGTGTGTAAGGGAAGAGAGGCAGGGCCCAAAAAGGGAAATAGAGATAATTGAGTCTTAAAATCCTTAAGTTTCTATTCGACTGAAGGATTTTAGACAAATTTTGATCTAGAGCATCCTTGGGTGAAAGTTAAGGCTTTCAATGTTGAATAAGTGAAGGGTGTGGCATGATTAAAAGAGTTCGCCCATGTCCTTGTGTCTTTCCTTCCCCTAGGGATTGAATAACCAATAGGCCTATGGTCATGATATGTAGCCAATTGCATGCTAGCATAGAGGGATATCAAGTTAATTTTCGCATACCTTGAAGGTCACATTATTGATACTATGTGAATGATACAGGCCAATTAGGCCTCACGTTCAAGGCAGAAAACAGGCTTATTTGCATATAAAATATATATTAATTTCTAAATAGAGTATTATGAAGAAGTAAGTATGCATTACCTTCTAATCAATCCATTCTCTTTAAACCCTCACCACACCTGACCTCCTCTACCCAAATATCTGACCTTGTCTCATAAACAGATGGATACTGTATTGATCCTGTGCTGCTTGCCCTAAACCGCTAGTGTAACACTTCCATTGTCCACTCTAATGGACACATTACCACACACTTACGACCCTTAGCAAGTCAGTGACCATTAAGCTGGACGTTGGAGATAGACACCACTTTGTTTCTGTCTATCACTGCTTCTGTCACAATGGTCCACTTTAACCTTGAGATGTCTATGGACTGCCTCCTGTTAGATTAGCAGGAAGTCAATGAGAGGAAATCAAATTCTAGTTCTTTTTTCAGACACATTTAACTTTTCTGTTATCAGGTCTTGCTTATAATTAACTACTACAGATCTAGCTGGACAGAAAGGGACATATAATTAACCTTTATGTTTTGTGTAATAACTTGTCTCAGAGTGTAGGTGTACAACTAATCAAAGGTAAAGCCTGAGCATCAAAATCAAATTAAATTGTCTTTCCATCAACTTTTCATCTCCATCAAACATTAATTAATTGGGGAGGGGAAATTACGATTTGAAACAAGATATATTTGTGGTTTGAAACATTACTTATATGTAATTTGAAGGAAGCTATATATGTAGTTTGAAGCAAGCTATATATTTGTAATTTGAAGCAAGCTATATATGAAGATTGAAGCAATCTATACATGTAGTTTAAAATAAGTTGTATATGTTGTTTGAAACAAGTAATACATGTAGTTTGAAACAAACTATACCCAAAGTTTGAAGCAAACTATACATGTAGTTTGAAATAAGTTATACATGTAGTTTGAAACAAGTTATACATCTAGTTTGAAGCAAGCTATACATGTAGTTTGAAACAAGCTATATATGTAGTTTGAAGCAAGATATATATGTAGTTTGAAGCAAGCTATACATGTAGTTTGAAGCAAGCTATACGTGTTGTTTGAAGCAAGATATACATGTAGTTTAATGCAAGATATACATGTAGTTTGAAGCAAGCTACACATGTTGTTTGAAGCAAGATATACATGTAGTTTAATGCAAGATATACATGTAGTTTGAAGCAAGCTATAGATGCTGTTTGAAGTAAGCTATACATGTAGTTTAATGCAAGTTATATATGTTGTTTGAAGTAAGCTAAATATGTTGTTTAATGCAAGCTATACATGTAGTTTGAAGCAAGCTATACATGTAGTTTGAAGCAAGCTATACATGTTGTTTGAAGCAAGATATACATGTAGTTTAATGCAAGTTATATATGTTGTTTGAAGCAAGCTATGTATGTAGTTTTAAGTAAGCTAAATATGTTGTTTAATGCAAGCTATACATGTAGTTTGAAACAAGATATACATGTAGTTTGAAGCAAGCTATACATGTTGTTTGAAGCAAGATATACATGTAGTTTAATGCAAGTTATATATGTAGTTTGAAGCAAGCTATATATGTAGTTTGAAGCAAGCTATTCATGCTGTTTGAAGCAAGCTATTCATGCTGTTTGAAGCAAGCTATACATGTAGTTTGAAGCAAGCTATATATGAAGATTGAAGCAATCTATATATTTGAAGCAAGCTTTACATGTTTGAAGCAAGCTATATATGTAGTTTGAAGCAATAGTTTGAAGCAAGCTATACATGTAGTTTAATGCAAGTTATATATGTAGTTTGAAGCAAGCTATATATGAAGATTGAAGCAATCTATATATGTAGTTTGAAGCAAGCTATATATATAGTTTGAAGCAAGCTATATATGTAGTTTGAAGCAAGCTTTACATGTTTGAAGCAAGCTATATATGTAGTTTGAAGCAATCTATATATTAGATTGAAGCAATCTATATATAGATTAAAACAATCTGTATGTGTAGTTTTAAGCAAGCTATAAATGTAGTTTGAAGCAAGCTATTCATGCTGTTTGAAGCAAGCTATATATAGTTTGAAGCAAGCTATATATGTAGTTTGAAGCAAGCTTTACATGTTTGAAGCAAGCTATATATGTAGTTTGAAGCAATCTATAACTATGTAGTTTAAAACAATCTGTATGTGTAGTTTAATGCAAGCTATATATGTAGTTTGAAGCAAGCTATATATGTGGTTTGAAGCAAACTATATATGTGGTTTAAAACAAGCTGTATGTGTAGTTCAAAATGAGCTATATATGTAGTTTAAAGCAAGCTATATATGAAGTTTTAAGCAAGCTATATATGTAGTTTGAAGCAAGCTATATATGTAGTTTGAAGCAAGCTATGTATGTGGTTTGAAACAAGCTATATATGTAGTTTAATGCAAGCCATATATGTAGTTTGAAGCAAACTATGTAGTTTGAAGCAAGCTATATTTGTAGTTTGAAGCAAGCTATATATGTAGTTTAATGCAAGCTATATATGCTGTTTGAAGCAAGCTATATGAGTAGTTTGAAACAAGCTGTATGTGTAGTTTAAAATGAGCTATATATGTAGTTTGAAACAAGCTAGTTTTAAGCAAGCTATATATGTAGTTTGAAGCAAGCTATATATGTAGTTTGAAGCTAGCTATATATGTGGTTTGAAACAAGCTGTATGTGTGGTTCAAAATGAGCTATATATGTAGTTTGAAGCAAGCTATATATGTAGTTTTAAGCAAGCTATATATGTAATTTGAAGCAAGCTATGTATTGTAGTTTGAAGCAAGCTATACATTTAGTTTAATTGCAAGCTACATATGTAGTTTGAAGCAAGTTATATATGTAGTTTGAAGCAAGCTATATATATGTAGTTTAATACAAGCTATAAATGTAGTTTGAAGCATGGTATATATGTAGTTTGAAGCAAGCTATATATGTAATTTGAAGCAAGCTATATATATAGTTTGAAGCAAGCTATATATGTAGTTCGAAGCAAGCCATATATGTAGTTTGAAGCAAACTATGTAGTTTGAAGCAAGCTATATTTGTTGTTTGAAGCAAGCTATATATGTAGTTTAATGCAAGTTACATATGTAGTTTGAAGCAAGCTATACATGTTTGAAGCAAGCTATATATGTAGTTTGAAGCAAGCTATATATGTAGTTTAAAACAAGCTGTGTGTGTAGTTTAATGCAAGCTATATATGTAGTTTGAAGCAAGCTGTATGTGTAGTTCAAAATGAGCTATATATGTAGTTTGAAGCAAGCTATATATGTAGTTTTAAGCAAGCTATATATGTATTTTGAAGCAAGCTATATATTGTAGTTTGAAGCAAGCTATACATATAGTTTAATGCAAGCTACATATGTAGTTTGAAGCAAGCTATATATGTAGTTTGAAGCAAGCTATATATATGTAGTTTAATACAAGCTCTAAATGTAGTTTGAAGCAAGGTATATATGTAGTTTGAAGCAAGCTATATATGTAATTTGAAGCAAGCTATATATGTAGTTTAATGCAAGCTATATATGTAGTTCGAAGCAAGCTATATGTGTAGTTTGAAACAAGCTGTATTTGTAGTTTAAAATGAGCTATATATGTAATTTGAAACAAGCTATCCATGTAGGTGGAAGCAAGCTATTTATGTAGTTTAAAACAAGCTGTGTGTGTAGTTTAAAATGAGCATTGAGTTTAAATAATCCAAAATTGTATATTTTATAACAGTTAATTTATTTCAACATTACTTTGTAGAAAAATATGAAAGTGGAGAATCTGTTTGAAGACATTAAAGATGGTACTCATCTGCTGTCCCTGTTGGAGGTTCTTTCGGGGGAGAGACTGGTAAGTAATAAAGGCGCACCGTTATTGTATCTGTTTTATTGAAGGCCATATTTATCGGAGGTGAACATTGGTGGTCCTTTAATTGTCATTTAAGGATTTCATATTTACATGTCTATAATCTGTCTTTGCATATTGCAGAGTTATCTGCTCTTGAGAGCAGGTATTGATTGTTTCGTCATTTGTTTGTGAGAGTAACGTCATCAATTTTTGAGAAAACGACGTAATTTTCTCACACAAACAAATGACGTAACAATCAATTCCTGCTCTCAAGAGCAGATAACTCTGCAATACGCAAAGACGGAATATATATATATATATAAAAAGATCTAATGACTGACTAAAAACAAGCTGCTTTCTGCCTTCATAGGGCTCTTCAGGTTTGAAGGTTGTATATATAAATCTATACTTATGCCTTATTAAAATAAAAAAGAGCTTTCTATATAGAATTTGAGTTGATATGTAAAATATTTGAGTCATTCGTCATTCCTACATCAAAACGAAATTGAGAAATGTATCAAAGGTTTGTCTGGGAGATTTGTTTGTAAATGTAGGGAATTCCTTGTAGAAATATTTGTGAGTGTAAATTGTGTGAAGAATATGCCCAAGTTATCAGTGTACTAAATCCTACATGATACCCTTGTGAGTCGATTGAAATAGCAAAATCTATCATCACTGGGGCAGTCTAAAGACAGGGATAATGCTACTGGAACGTAATATGTCACCGTCAGGTATTCCTGTCCTTTCTCTAGTCAGGACAATATTGGGCTGAAACTGGTACTGTTGACATATAGTTCAGGCATTTAAAAGTTACAACAGAAATAGGTTGCTCCCAGTGAATGGCCATCATAAGGTTTTCAACTGATATAGCTGTACTTAGGACAACAACAAATTCACATTTCTTTTTGTTATATTTTTTTAAATCATTTTTTTTGCGACATCGATTTGTAGAAAACTCCTTTGTGTGTATACGCTTCACTGGTCATTTGTCTGATGAGGGTGACAGTACATACCATTCTAGTCATCGAAACATCACATAGAAACACTCACTGGTTGGGTATCAAGAAACTTTTCATAATCCTAGACACGGCTATGTCGCCATTAAAGCACACTGGTCCTTATATTATTAGCTCACCTGGTCCGAAGAACCAAGGTGAGCTTATGCCGTACCGCGGCGTTCGTTGTCCGTCTGTCTTCCGAACGTAAACAATTTCTTCAAACAACTTTTTCTTCTTAACCGCTGATTAGAATTTAACTAAATTTGACTGGAAGTATCCCTTGGTGGTGGGGATTCAAAATTGTACAAATGGTAGGGCTGACCCCCTAAGGGGGCTGAGGGCGGGGCCAAAAAGTGTAACTTGGCTATATTGGTTTAAGCCACTTCTTCTCTGGAACTAAGCAATGGATATCAACCATATTTGACTGATAGCATCCCTAGGTGTTTGGGATCCAAAATTGTACAAATGGTAGGGCTGACCCCTCCAGAGGACGAGGGGCAGGGCCAAAAAGTGTAATTTAGCTATATATTGCTTTAAGAGACTCCCTAGGTGGTGGATATTAACAACTACAAATGGGCAGGCTCAACCCCCCGGGCTAAGGGATGGGGCCCAAAATAGTTTATAACTTAGAAATGGTCAAGATCCCCTCCCTATGACCATATATACAATTGCTGAGTATAACAAGATGAATGCATATATGCTTCCAGGATGGCTTAGGTTTGGCCCTACCCTTGGAGACTTAGTCTCTGGGTCACAACTTAATGAAATGGTTGAGATCCTCACCCCTTAACTAAATGTACCTAAACTAAATGAACAATTGCTTGGCATACAGAGACAAACACAATCATGATATTAACATTGATCCTTAGATCTGGCCACACCCCTACAGACCTAGTTCCTGAGTCACAACTTGGAAACAGTTGAAATCCCCACCCTATAACTATGTATGCAAATGCTGATTATAGAGAGATGAATGCACATATGCCTCCAGGATGGTCCCAGGGTCTGCCCCACCTTAGAGACTTAACCCCTAGGTTATAACTTTGAAACAGTTGAGATCACCATCCCAAAACTATATATAGAATTGCTAAGCATAAAAAGACAAATGCAGTCATGAAATTAGAGTTGACTCCAGGGTCTGCCCCATACTTGCAGACTTAACCCCTGGATCATAACTTTGAAACGGTTGAGATCCCCACCCCAAAACTATATATACAATTGCTAGGCATAAAGAGATGAATGCAGTCATGATATCAGAATTAATCCTAGGGTCTTGCCACAATCCCTGGGACCTAGTTTCTGAGTCATAACTTTGAGACGGTTGAGATCCCCACCCCAAAACTATATGTACAATTGCTAGGCATAAAGAGATGAATGCAGTCATGATATCAGAATGGACCCTGGGGTCTGGCCACAAACCTAGGGACCTAGTTCCTGATCACAACTTTGAAACAGTTGAGATTCCCACCCCATAACCACATTACATACAATTGCTGAGCAAGAAAAATCTAATACAGATATGCTACAAGGATTAAACTTGGGGTCTGGCCCTATCCCTGGGATATTATTTGGAGAATATTTTGCCAATATTGCTTAGATATCCAGGTGAGCGATACAGGCCCTCTTGGCCTCTTGTTACAAGTCCTAAGCATGTGGTACATCGCCATTACAGCACACTGCCTCATATATAAATGATCCTAAGCATGGCTTCATCCCCATTATAGACATAATTGAGTATCTGTACAGGTAGGCAGGTACGTGATCACGTCTAGATTGTGTATCAAGATCTAATATGAATTCCAGCTCGTATCTTATGCTTGTGGTAAGCCGTGCATAAACACGTCTAGATTGTGTATCAAGATCTAATATGAATTCCAGCTCGTATCTTATGCTTGTGGTAAGCTGTGCATAAACAGAATCTTTGAAATTAGTATGTGTACCAGGAAATTATTTATTCTAGATAATGTTTGGTTGAGCTTTGTCGAGAGAAACCTCGGTGAATAAATCTACATAGAATAATTAAAGCACACACAACAACTACATGGGTTTGACTTATTTTTAGAGTCTGTTTTCTGTTCATGAGATTGATCTTTTAATTTTGTTCGAACATTCATAGCTGCATAAAGTATATGTTGGATACTTGGTCAGGCATAAATGTTTTGTTGTTATATTTTCAGCCTAAAATAATTTCTTTTAAAAACATTTGACACCTGGTGTAGAATTTAATATAAAATGTTAAATGTTTTTGAGCAATTTCTGAAAATAGGTTACATTACAAGAGTACAGCCTACACATTATATAGCAATTTCGGCCCGGTTCAGTGTAAGGACATCTACATCCTCGGAGTTTATAAACAATAACTGATTGTACTATGTACAGTGATAAGATCTTCAGTCATGGAAACAAACAAATTCTATAAGGTAATGACTAAAAGATTTAGAAATGTTGTTAACTTTAATGGTTTGTTCATGAAAGTCTGATATATTTGTATTTCAAATATGGTTTGTGCTGAATTTCCGAGACTGTTGTTTTGATGAATTGAGCATTTGTTCTGTAGAACACTGTTGTTATGTGTCATTCAGTGTTAATATTTGAAGTATTTTTTTATTAGAATGTGAAACAATTGTGAGAGTTTGACCCAGTGATCTCACACCCAGTGTATTATGAGTATGATTTGCCAGACAGATTTAAATCACAGAAATACAAGAGTTGGTGTAATATTTTAGGGGATGTAAGTCATGTCAGAACATGAAATAAAATGGGGTCTGTGAACAGTTCCTCAAAATAGAATATTGCTGTCGTAAACATAGAAGTGAGCCCCTGCCACCAGTGTATTGTTCCTGTGTGTGTAGATTTTATTGCTAGATTTTGATAGTTGGGTTGTGCTGTAAGTGTTCCCTCCAAAAATGCCTCCTGTCCGAACTTGTCTCTGGGTGTCAACACACCTTGAAAACCTGTGTATCGTAGCGATTTCCAATTAGGTGTCTTGACAGGTGTAATGGTCTACCTGGCAAATTATACCCATTTCTGATTCCTACTGGGTCGAAACATTCTTAACTTGAAAACACATACATTAGAAGTTGAGATATTGAGGAAATTAAGAGTTCCTATTTACGACTTCTTTAGAATGAAGTTTCTTCTGATCCCACAAGGACAGACATTTTGATAAAGAAGTAGATATTCAATAATATTATATTGGTGTATTAAAAAGTGTTATAAAATGTTGGTCAAAATGTAACATGAAGTTCACAAAGTCAGTGTGATTCCCTGCGGGGGTATTTAACCCAGCACCAAACTGAATACATCAGAAATCACCTTATATAGCTATATGTAACAGAGTGCCTGTAAAATGAAAAGATTGGTTTAAAACATTTAAAGCTTACATTTTTAGATATCTTTACCTTTATCATAAAGCTGTTTTTGAATGGCAGTTAGATGGCTTGGCTTTGAAATGTATACTTTTCAAAAAGAGTAAAGTGCCTTTAAAATAATATGCTATAGTAATACTTAAGTTAAGTGACTAATATTTACACAGAATATAAAAATGATGACAATGATACCTCCACATTGGTCAGTACACACCGAGTATAGGAGAGAGTCCTACTGTCATTAAACCCATACACATTTAATAAACCGAATTCTGAATATTAATTGATACAGCAGACTTTAGCATGCTTTCATCATATACACTGGACACAATGCCAATGTCTGTGGTGGCCAGCTCTGTTTTGTCGTGTGACTCCCTGAGGAGCAGGTCATCTTTTATACCAGCAACAGCATTGTTGATACAACACTTCTTATTAAAGGATTTCTGGACCATTTCTTGGTGACATGGCTCCATGCTTCCTCAGTCCATTTCAGAGGAAAGCTATTGTGATCAACAATTGGTGAGATTGGTACACCAACCCTGTTTCAAGCTCATAATAAAGTCATCCCCCACCCCCAAGATTGAGAGTCTAGCTACCAAAGTTCAGACATGTGTCTCAATGGATGATGTGTAGCATGTGACAGGTGTATATTGTTTGGACTATGTAGCACATACTTTTGTTCTTTGTCCATTACTTTGTCTGCTACATCATTGTCTGACCTAATGAACCCTCATACATTATGTTGTTACAGCCAATGGAGAGGGGAAGGCTCAAAAGAGTTCATCATGTCAGCAACTTGTCTACAGCACTGAAGTTCCTAGAGACCAAGAAAGTGAGTATACTGTGGAATAGGGTGGGTATGATAGTTCAGGTGGTACTGGAGTATAGAGGATACAAGACTACAGATGGTGCTAGACTACAGAGGGTACTAGAGTACAGATGGTATTAGACTACAGAGGGTAGTAGAGTACAGAGTGTACTAGAGTACAGAGGGTGCTAGAGTACAGAGGGTGCTAGAGTACAGATGGTATTAGACTACAGATGGTAGTAGAGTACAGAGTGTACTAGACTACAGAGGGTGCTAGACTACAGAGGGTACTAGACTACAGAGGGTATTAGACTACAGAGGGTATTAGATTACAGAGGGTACTAGAGTACAGAGTGTACTAGACTACAGAGGGAATTAGACTACAGAGGGTATTAGACTACAGAGGGTGCTAGACTACTGAGGGTAGTAGAGTACAGAGGGTAGTAGAGTACAGAGTGTACTAGACTACAGAGGATATTAGACTATGGAGAGTATTATACTACAGAGGGAAGTAGAGTACAGAGTGTACTAGACTACGGAGGGTATTAGACTACAGAGGGTTGTAGAGTACAGAGGATAGTAGAGCACAGAGTGTACTAGACTACAGAGGGTGCTAGACTACAGAGGGTACTAAACTACATAGGGTACTAGACTACAGTGGGTATTAGACTACAGAGGGTAGTAGAGTACAGAGGGTAGTAGAGTACAGAGGGAAGTAGAGTACAGAGTGTACTAGACTACAGAGGGTGCTAGACTACCGAGGGCACTAGACTACAGAGGATATTAGACTACAGAGGGGATTATACTACAGAGGGAAGTAGAGTACAGAGGGTACTAGACTACAGAGGGTGCTAGACTACAGAGGGTACTAAACTACATAGGGTACTAGACTACAGTGGGTATTAGACTACAGAGGGTAGTAGAGTACAGAGTGTACTAGACTACAGAGGGTGCTAGACTACCGAGGGTACTAGACTACAGAGGATATTAGACTACAGAGGGTATTATACTACAGAGGGAAGTAGAGTACAGAGTGTACTAGACTACAGAGGGTATTAGACTACAGAGGGTAGTAGAGTACAAAGTATACTAGACTACAGATGGTTCTAGAGTACAGATGGTAGTAGAGTACAGAGAGTAGTAGAGTACAGAGGGTAGTAGAGTACAGAGGGTACTAGAGTACAGATGGTACTAGTGTACAGATGGTACTAGTGTACAGATGGTAGCAGAGTACAGATGTTAGTAGAGTACAAAGGGTAGTAGAGTTCAGATGGTAGTAGAGTACAGAGGATAGTAGAGTACAGATGGTACTAGAGTACAGATGGTACTAGTGTACAGATGGTAGCAGAGTACAGATGTTAGTAGAGTACAAAGGGTAGTAGAGTACAGATGGTACTAGAGTACAGAGGGTACTAGAGTACAGATAGTACTAGAGTACAGAGGGTGCTAGAGTACAGATGGTAGTAGAGTACAGATGGTAGTAGAGTACAGAGGGTACTAGAGTACAGATGGTAGTAGAGTACAGAGGGTAGTAGAGGACAGATGGTAGTAGAGTACAGATGGTAGTAGAGTACATATGGTAGTAGAGTACAGATGGCAGTAGAGTACAGATGGTAGTAGAGTACAGATGGTAGCAGAGTACAGATGTTAGTAGAGTACAAAGGGTAGTAGAGTACAGATGGTACTAGAGTACAGAGGGTACTAGAGTACAGATGGTACTAGAGTACAGAGGGTGCTAGAGTACAGATGGTAGTAGAGTACAGATGGTAGTAGAGTACAGAGGGTACTAGAGTACAGATGGTAGTAGAGTACAGAGGGTAGTAGAGGACAGATGGTAGTAGAGTACAGATGGTAGTAGAGTACATATGGTAGTAGAGTACAGATGGCAGTAGAGTACAGATGGTAGTAGAGTACAGATGGTAGCAGAGTACAGATGTTAGTAGAGTACAAAGGGTAGTAGAGTACAGATGGTACTAGAGTACAGAGGGTACTAGAGTACAGATGGTACTAGAGTACAGAGGGTGCTAGAGTACAGATGGTAGTAGAGTACAGATGGTAGTAGAGTACAGAGGGTACTAGAGTACAGATGGTAGTAGAGTACAGAGGGTAGTAGAGGACAGATGGTAGTAGAGTACAGATGGTAGTAGAGTACATATGGTAGTAGAGTACAGATGGCAGTAGAGTACAGATGGTAGTAGAGTACAGATGGTAGCAGAGTACAGATGGTAGTAGAGTACAAAGGGTAGTAGAGTACAGATGGTACTAGAGTACAGAGGGTACTAGAGTACAGATGGTACTAGAGTACAGAGGGTGCTAGAGTACAGATGGTAGTAGAGTACAGATGGTAGTAGAGTACAGAGGGTACTAGAGTACAGATGGTAGTAGAGTACAGAGGGTAGTAGAGGACAGATGGTAGTAGAGTACAGATGGTAGTAGAGTACATATGGTAGTAGAGTACAGATGGCAGTAGAGTACAGATGGTAGTAGAGTACAGATGGTAGCAGAGTACAGATGGTAGTAGAGTACAAAGGGTAGTAGAGTACAGATGGTACTAGAGTACAGAGGGTACTAGAGTACAGATGGTACTAGAGTACAGAGGGTGCTAGAGTACAGATGGTAGTAGAGTACAGATGGTAGTAGAGTACAGAGGGTACTAGAGTACAGATGGTAGTAGAGTACAGAGGGTAGTAGAGGACAGATGGTAGTAGAGTACAGATGGTAGTAGAGTACATATGGTAGTAGAGTACAGATGGCAGTAGAGTACAGATGGTAGTAGAGTACAGATGGTAGCAGAGTACAGATGGTAGTAGAGTACATAGGGTAGTAGAGTACAGATGGTACTAGAGTACAGAGGGTACTAGAGTACAGATGGTACTAGAGTACAGAGGGTGCTAGAGTACAGATGGTAGTAGAGTACAGATGGTAGTAGAGTACAGAGGGTACTAGAGTACAGATGGTAGTAGAGTACAGAGGGTAGTAGAGGACAGATGGTAGTAGAGTACAGATGGTAGTAGAGTACATATGGTAGTAGAGTACAGAGGATAGTAGAGTACAGATGGTAGAAGAGTACAGAGTGAACTAGACTACAGAGGGTGCTAGAGTACAGAGGGTAGTAGAGTACAGATGGGAGTAGAGTACAGAGGGTAGTAGAGTACAGAGGGTACTAGAGTACAGATAGTACTAGAGTACAGAGGGTGCTAGAGTATAGATGGTAGTAGAGTACAGATGGTAGTAGAATAGAGATGGTAGTAGAGTACAGAGGGTAGTAGAGGACAGATGGTAGTAGAGTACAGAGGGTAGTAGAGTACAGAGTGTACTAGACTACACGTGGTGCTAGTGTACAGAGGGTACTAGACTTCAGAGGGTACTAGAGTACAGATGGTAGTAGAGTACAGAGGGTAGTAGAGGACAGATGGTAGTAGAGTACAGAGGGTAGTAGAGTACAGACGGTAGTAGAGTACAGAGGGTAGTAGAGTACAGAGGGTACTAGAGTACAGATAGTACTAGAGTACAGAGGGTGCTAGAGTATAGATGGTAGTAGAGTACAGATGGTAGTAGAATACAGATGGTAGTAGAGGACAGAGGGTAGTAGAGTACATAGGGTAGTAGAGTACATAGGGTACTAGAGTAAAGAGGGTACTAGACTACAGAGGGTACAAGACTACAGAGGGTACTAGACTACAGAGGGTACAAGACTACAGAGGGTACTAGACTACAGAGGGTACTAGAGTACCGATGGTAGTAGAGTACAGAGGGTGCTAGAGTACAGAGGGTACTAGAGTACAGATGGTACTAGAGTACAGAGGGTGCTGGAGTACAGATGGTAGTAGAGTACAGATGGCAGTAGAGTACAGATGGTTGTAGAGTACAGAGGGTAGTAGAGTACAGAGTGTACTAGACTACACGTGGTGCTAGTGTACAGAGGGTACTAGACTTCAGAGGGTACTAGAGTACAGATGGTAGTAGAGTACAGATGGCAGTAGAGGACAGATGGTAGTAGAGTACAGAGGGTAGTAGAGTACAGAGTGTACTAGACTACAGGGGGTGCTAGAGTACAGAGGGTACTAGACTACAGAGGGTACTAGAGTACCGATGGTAGTAGAGTACAGAGGGTGCTAGAGTACAGAGGGTACTAGAGTACAGATGGTACTAGAATACAGATGGTAGTAGAGTACATATGATAGTAGAGTACAGATGGCAGTAGAGTACAGATGGTAGTAGAGGACAGAGGGTAGTAGAGTACAGATGGTACTAGAGTACAGAGGGTGCTGGAGTACAGATGGTAGTAGAGTACATATGGTAGTAGAGGACAGAGGATAGTAGAGTACAGATGGTAGAAGAGTACAGAGTGAACTAGACTACAGAGGGCGCTAGAGTACAGAGGGTAGTAGAGTACAGATGGTAATAGAGTACATAGGGTAGTAGAGTACATAGGGTACTAGAGTAAAGAGGGTACTAGACTACAGAGGGTACAAGACTACAGAGGGTACTAGACTACAGAGGGTACAAGACTACAGAGGGTACTAGACTACAGAGGGTACTAGAGTACAGAGGGTAGTAGAGTACAGAGGGTACTAGAGTACAGAGGGTACTAGAGTACAGATGGTAGTAGAGTACAGAGGGTAGTAGAGTACAGATGGTACTAGAGTACATAGGGTAGTAGAGTACATAGGGTAGTAGAATACAGATGGTAGTAGAGTACAGATGGTAGTAGAATACAGATGGTAGTAGAGTACAGAGGGTAGTAGAGTACAGAGGGTACTAGAGTACAGAGGGTACTGGAGTACAGATGGTAGTAGAGTACAGATGGGACTAGAGTACATAGGGGAGTAGAGTACATAGGGTAGTAGAGTGCATAGGGTAGTAGAATACAGATGGTAGTAGAGTGCAGATGGTAGTAGAATACAGATGGGAGTAGAGTACAGAGGGTAGTAGAGGACAGAGGGTAGTAGAGTACATAGGGTACTAGAGTACAGAGGGTAGTAGAGGACAGAGGGTAGTAGAGGACAGAGGGTAGTAGAGTACAGATGGTACTAGAGTACATAGGGTAGTAGAGTACATAGGGTACTAGAGTACAGAGGGTACTAGACTACAGAGGGTACAAGACTACAGAGGGTACTAGACTACAGAGGGTACTAGAGTACCGATGGTAGTAGAGTACAGAGGGTGCTAGAGTACAGAGGGTACTAGAGTACAGAGGGTACTAGAGTACAGAGGGTACTAGAGTACAGATGGTACTAGAGTACCGATGGTAGTAGAGTACAGATGGTACTGGAGTACAGAGGGTACTGGAGTACAGATGGTAGTAGAGTACAGATGGTAGTAGAATACAGATGGTAGTAGAGTACAGAGGGTAGTAGAGTACAGATGGTAGTAGAGTACAGAGGGTAGTAGAGTACAGATGGTAGTAGAGTACAGAGGGTAGTAGAGTACAGATGGTAGTAGAGTACAGAGGGTAGTAGAGTACAGATGGTAGTAGAGTACAGAGGGTAGTAGAGTACAGATGGTAGTAGAGTACAGAGGGTAGTAGAGTACAGATGGTACTAGAGTACAGAGGGTAGTAGAGTACAGATGGTACTAGAGTACATAGGGTAGTAGAGTACATAGGGTAGTAGAATACAGATGGTAGTAGAGTACAGATGGTAGTAGAATACAGATGGTAGTAGAGTACAGAGGGTAGTAGAGTACAGAGGGTACTAGAGTACAGAGGGTACTGGAGTACAGATGGTAGTAGAGTACAGATGGTACTGGAGAATAATTGGAATTATCTGATATTTAATTTACATTTATTCTATTTAATATTTCAGATCAAACTTGTAAATATAAATGTGTCGGACATTGCTGATGGGAAGCCGTCCATTGTTCTGGGGCTGATATGGACCATCATCCTATATTTCCAGGTCAGTATCTTTGACACAGTCCTGATTTAATCGCCAATACGTGTTTTAGGCTAAATTTGGTTTGAACACAAACCGAATTTTAAAAACTTATTTTGAGAACTTTCAAAAATGTTTTTAATTGTCAAGCAAAAGGGTGCAAATGACTGGTGTCTCAACTCTAAAGCGCGTAAAACAGATAACTTAACCAGTGTGCTGAAACAGGAAAGTCAGCTGTGTGTCTTAAACTTAGCCTTTATTGTTCAAACCAAACTGATGAATTTTATATAAATGTTGGTTTTAACCAAGCAGATCTTCCTGTTATGATATATACAGTGGTCACTGATATTGATAGATATGATAAATACTGTTGTCACACCTGATAGACAGTAGTTATACCAAACCTGTTGTCACACCTGATAGACAGTAGTTATACCAAACCTGTTGTCACACCTGATAGACAGTAGTTATACCAAACCTGTTGTCACACCTGATAGACAGTAGTTATACCAAACCTGTTGTCACACCTGATAGACAGTAGTTATACCAAACCTGTTGTCACACCTGATAGACAGTAGTTATACCAAACCTGTTGTCACACCTGATAGACAGTAGTTATACCAAACCTGTTGTCACACCTGATAGACAGTAGTTATACCAAACCTGTTGTCACACCTGATAGACAGTAGTTATACCAAACCTGTTGTCACACCTGATAGACAGTAGTTATACCAAACCTGTTGTCACACCTGATAGACAGTAGTAATACCAAACCTGTTGTCACACCTGATAGACAGTAGTTATACCAAACCTGTTGTCACACCTGATAGACAGTAGTAATACCAAACCTGTTGTCACACCTGATAGACAGTAGTTATACCAAACCTGTTGTCACACCTGATAGACGGTAGTAATACCAAACCTGTTGTCACACCTGATAGACAGTAGTAATACCAAACCTGTTGTCACACCTGATAGACAGTAGTAATACCAAACCTGTTGTCACACCTGATAGACAGTAGTAATACCAAACCTGTTGTCACACCTGATAGACAGTAGTAATACCAAACCTGTTGTCACACCTGATAGACAGTAGTAATACCAAACCTGTTGTCACACCTGATAGACAGTAGTAATACCAAACCTGTTGTCACACCTGATAGACAGTAGTAATACCAAACCTGTTGTCACACCTGATAGACAGTAGTAATACCAAACCTGTTGTCACACCTGATAGACAGTAGTAATACCAAACCTGTTGTCACACCTGATAGACAGTAGTAATACCAAACCTGTTGTCACACCTGATAGACAGTAGTAATACCAAACCTGTTGTCACACCTGATAGACAGTAGTAATACCAAACCTGTTGTCACACCTGATAGACAGTAGTAATACCAAACCTGTTGTCACACCTGATAGACAGTAGTAATACCAAACCTGTTGTCACACCTGATAGACAGTAGTAATACCAAACCTGTTGTCACACCTGATAGACAGTAGTAATACCAAACCTGTTGTCACACCTGATAGACAGTAGTAATACCAAACCTGTTGTCACACCTGATAGACAGTAGTAATACCAAACCTGTTGTCACACCTGATAGACAGTAGTAATACCAAACCTGTTGTCACACCTGATAGACAGTAGTAATACCAAACCTGTTGTCACACCTGATAGACAGTAGTAATACCAAACCTGTTGTCACACCTGATAGACAGTAGTAATACCAAACCTGTTGTCACACCTGATAGACAGTAGTAATACCAAACCTGTTGTCACACCTGATAGACAGTAGTAATACCAAACCTGTTGTCACACCTGATAGACAGTAGTAATACCAAACCTGTTGTCACACCTGATAGACAGTAGTAATACCAAACCTGTTGTCACACCTGATAGACAGTAGTAATACCAAACCTGTTGTCACACCTGATAGACAGTAGTAATACCAAACCTGTTGTCACACCTGATAGACAGTAGTAATACCAAACCTGTTGTCACACCTGATAGACAGTAGTAATACCAAACCTGTTGTCACACCTGATAGACAGTAGTAATACCAAACCTGTTGTCACACCTGATAGACAGTAGTAATACCAAACCTGTTGTCACACCTGATAGACAGTAGTAATACCAAACCTGTTGTCACACCTGATAGACAGTAGTAATACCAAACCTGTTGTCACACCTGATAGACAGTAGTAATACCAAACCTGTTGTCACACCTGATAGACAGTAGTAATACCAAACCTGTTGTCACACCTGATAGACAGTAGTAATACCAAACCTGTTGTCACACCTGATAGACAGTAGTAATACCAAACCTGTTGTCACACCTGATAAACAGTAGTTATACCAAACCTGTTGTCACACCTGATAAACAGTAGTTATACCAAACCTGTTTCCACACCTGATAGACAGTAGTTATACCAAACCTGTTGTCACACCTGATAGACAGTAGTTATACCAAACCTGTTTCCACACCTAATATTTATTTTAATTTTGGATTGATCTTTTCTTTCAACCAGGTGACATATCTAATATTTCAGCATTATGGTAGATCTTTATTTCAAGGAAGGACATGTCTCTATCACCCTGTGTCGGTCAGTCTTGAACACACACATTGGCAAATTGCTGTATTGGTCAACAGTATGCACATTTTATAACTCAACACTTTGGTAGAGGGAGCAAGTGTATTTATCTCAATAAAGGTGGTAAACCAAGTTATAACAAAAATGCTGCACAAAATCACATGGTTTACATTTTACACTCGCAATGGTTATATGTCACATCTTGTCTGGCTCAAACTCCGGCCTTATATCATGACATTTTGAAATCATGACATTTCCTTGTCTTTGTTAAGCTATTCCTGGGTTTAGTGGATTATATGTACATCCTAGAGATCAAACTATCGTAAAATTAACTCAAAGTAATTATTTTTATTCGTCGGGGAAGGCTTCAGATAGGGGTTTAAATGTCATGTGTGTATTATATGTAGAGTCCATTGCTTTGTTAGGACACTGTCGTCCTATTGACTCAAGTGTTTAATGAAGGAATACGTAACAGTTGTCATTAATAGTTCCAGCCCTAATTAATGTCATTAAGGGCCAATCACTGTTCAGGACTCGTTTAAGGTGAGGTTTAGTGCCGAAGCCTTTAAAGATTGGGGCTACACCTCAAGGTCAGGCAGGCGCTGTCAAATAACCGTTTGTAAGTGGAGTTCCAATTATAGGATTTGTTGACAAGTACGTTGTTTATAGTTGTTACATGTGTAACATTAAACACCTTCAATGTTATATTTAAGGATAAACTATTACTCTCCAGACTGAGAAAGGTGAATAGAAATTGACAGATGTTACCAGTAATGAATACAGGCTTCCATTTGTGGTAGTTGTTCATTTCCTTGTGTAATGATGAATGTGTTGGGGCCATTTTTATAATTGACACTTTAGTCGAACATTCATTCAGGGTACACAGAGGTATGGTGCGAAAAGTAAAGGGTTGCCGTTTATTGACACCGTCATGTTTACTTTGTGGTAAGCCCTTAAGTAATCATTGTGTAGTAGAGTTGGGTTAGAATAATCTGTGTAAATGTGGTCGGTTATAACTAGCCTTCTATCCCGGCTACGAATATCAAATTTCTGTTTGTAAATATGTAGCTTATTGGTTCCAAATAAATTCATTGATTTTTACAAAGGTTTAAAATAGATTTTAAGTAGATAGTGGTAAGCTTATCAGAAATCTGGTATTACTGTACATACCTTAAATAGTCTGGTATTACAGTACATACCTTAAATAATCTGAAAGAGAGTTGTACTGAAAATCTCTGTAACTACAATGATCCTTAGCTATATAGACAGTGAGTTGTACTGAAAATCTCTGTTACTACAATGATCCTTAGCTATACAGACAGTGAGTTGTACTGAAAATCTCTGTTACTACAATGATCCTTAGCTATACAGACAGTGAGTTGTACTGAAAATCTCTGTAAACGGCATATAACAAAGAACAGAACACAGATAGCACCAAGTGCTTGATGAGAAAAAATTATGCTTACTCAATGACTGGGTCAAGGTCATCACCATAGTAACAACATGAGTGTAGTACATGGTAAATGAAAATGTATAAAAATTGTTGTTTTAAATTTGATTTAAGTTGAAATTTAGGATGGCTGCTTTTTTGCACATACAGTTTGCTTATATGCTTGCAAACACACATTCTGATATCATCAGAATGAATGTTATTTGAACCCTGTATGATGTTTTAACTTGTATTACTGGCAATTATCAGTCCTTGTCATGCCCGGTGTTGATCATTTGGCAATGTTACTGACTTTTCACTATTCATGCAGATTGAAGATACGTTTGCTCAAGCAGCTGTAGGTGAGGATGGTCAGCCTCGAGAGTTATCTGCTCTTGAGAAATTTCGAAAGAATGCAAAGAAGGCCCTGCTGGCATGGACAGGAAACGCTATCACAAAGTAAGTCAGGTCTCACTGCTCATTTTTCAGCAGTATTGAAAACACAACTGTGAACGGGATGTTTGCACAGATTAAAAGAAATAATTTTTTATTGAAATGTGTGATAAAGGTTATGCATGTATATATGGCCGTTTTTGTTTAAACGGTCAAACCGGTTGAACCACAGTTGTTCGTTTATTAAATAAGGTCGGACCTAGTAATCTGATGCTGCTTTCAGGAGAGCCTTGACAAAGCCTTGCAAGGCCTGCATAAACATTGGCAGGTCCGCCAGGATTTATACCCAAAATTGTTACATTTATAAACGGTCAAACCGGTTGTTCCGCATAAACGAAGAGGCCCTAAATGTACTATAAACTGGTATGTGTTGAGTAAAGGATAACGATACAAAGGAATTCACTGTATAGCTTTTCTGTTCTATATCTTTGTTCACAGGCGATATGGAATCGAGATCACCAATTTTGGGAAGAGTTGGCGTGATGGTTTAGCATTTAACGCAATCATACACACCATTCGCCCTGACCTTGTTGACTTTGAGCAAGTGCGACAACAGAACGCACGTGTCAACCTGGAGCAGGCTTTCTCAACAGCAGAGAACTCACTTGGAATCCCACGCCTGCTAGATCCTGAAGGTATAGCTGTGAGGGATGGCTACCCAGTTGTGTAGCAGGGTTAACTTTGAAGTGTCTGAATGTGTTTTTGATACTCTTAGAATAAAATGATCTAATAAGATGAGACATGAAAAACACTCACTGTTGTAAAATTCATTTCATTCTAAGTTTCTAGATCAGAATAGCAGTCCTTCTATTGGTGAAGGTTCCACGTTCTGTTATCCAGAATATGTAATGATCATGATGTAGTCCAACTTTATCTGGACCCATCTGAATGTTTACAGTTTTAAATATATTGTAGACGTGGATGTTGAGAAGCCTGATGAGAAATCCATCATGACTTACGTGGCTCAGTTTCTTAAGGCCTACCCGGAGGCAGGAGAGGATCCCTCGGTAAGTAACAAGTCGGGATAAAGGCAGATGATTCTGTACAGCTTTAATATTTACTGTATAGTGTTTATATTTACTGTACAGTGTTTATGTTTACTGTACAGTGTTTATATTTACTATATAGTGTTTATATTTACTGTACAGTGTTTATATTTACTGTACAGTGTTCATATTTACTGTACAGTGTATATATTTACTGTATAGTGTTTATATTTACTGTACAGTGTTTATATTTACTGTATGGTGTTAAAATTAACTGTATGATGTTTATATTTACTGTACAGTGTATATGCTACTGTATGGTGTTTATATTTACAGTCCAGTGTTTATATTTACTGTATGGTGTTAATATTTACTGTACAGTGTATATATTTACTGTATGGTGTTTATGTTACTGTATGGTGTTTATATTTACTGTATGGTGTTAATATTCACTGTATAGTGTTTATATTTACTGTACAGTGTTTATTTTTACTGCACAGTGTATATGTTTACTGTATGGTGTTTATATTAACTGTATAGTGATTATATTTACTGCACAGTGTTTGTATTTACTGTATGGTGTTTATATTTACTGTATGGTGTTAATATTCACTGTATAGTGTTTATATTTACTGTACAGTGTATATGTTTACTGTATGGTGTTTATATTAACTGTATAGTGTTTATATTTACTGTACAGTGTTTATATTTACTGTATGGTGTTTATATTTACTGTATGATGTTAATATTCACTGTATAGTGTTTATATTTACTTTACAGTGTATATGTTACTGTATGGTGTTCATATATTTACTGTGTGGTGTTTATATTTACTATAAAGTGTTTATTTTCTCTGTTTGGTTTATATATTTTCTATACAGTGTTTATTTTTACTGTATATTTGCTGTATAGTGTTTATATTCACTCTAAGGTGTTCCTTATTTGCAGCTTGCGAAGAGGAAGAGAAATCCTGCCGAGCAGGAGCTTGCAGACTACACCGACCTGATCACATGGCTGAACACTGAGGCAGACGAAGTGCTACAGATAGTGGACCAGCCTGTCACTGATCGGCAGCAGGAATATATGGTAATACCTTGTTACACTCATTTTCTCCCTCACAATTTGTACAGGATCCTTTCAGTTGATGTATGTAAAGATATTGGTTTTGTTCAGGTCAAACCATATAAAACAGTTATTTGTATGCTAGGGTTTGAATGGACAGTTTCTTAGTAAATCCCTGTCTTTCACCTTTATTTTTACTTCTAATTACCTTTTATTTCCTAGCGCCTTTCTTGGCAAATACCTCACTTTTAGCTTTAACTTTGAACGTTCGCCCAGGTGAGGAAGGCAATGGGTTCTGTCCCCATGCTGGGACATACCAAAGTCTTTAAAAATTGTGATTGTTATGCCCTGCTTAATGTTCAGGATCAAGGGAAATGGCAACAACTGGTTCACCTGTAGTCAGTATTATGTGACCGGGCGGAATACTGTGCTGGGTGCCTTTGGCATGGAATTTTAGTGAGGTAGCATTATAAAGTCGGCAGCAGATCGGCGCTATCACAAGGAGGCAAATGAACCAACATACCTACCTGTCTCCTGCACACACATACAAGCAGGCATACAAAACACATATGGAGGCACATCCTTAAATGACTCTAGCTGTTAATAGGACGTTAAACAAAGTATAACCAAACCAAACCAAACCAATCACCTTTTTACCAAGAAACTTTGTGTCATTTCCTTAATATTTAACCATCACAAGGACTTTGGATGGGTTTTTTGTATATCGTATATAGTTTGCCCAAATAAATAACATACCTATTTATTCCAGGTCACAGGGATAAAATATTGAAAACATTTAAATGACCCAGGAGTTACCAAAAGGCCTAGGTAGAGGATGTTTAGTGAATAGCTTGTAGATACTATCAAGTTTGCTGCAGTGATCATAAATAACTTTGACCAACTTTCAGTGGGGTCAAATGTGTTAACATCTTATAATGACTTCTTATGAATAATTTGAGGTCACAGGTTGATGATATTTTGTAAGTAGCATGCTGGAGTAAAGGGCTACCAACTATCTATAAACAAATGATTTTGTCCTACTTTCTAGGTCTCAGTGGTCAAATGTGTTAAATACTTAAACAATTTCTTCTCAACAACCAACAGACACAGGGTGCTGCTATTTGACGGGCTACCCAATTCATTCAACTTATATTTAAATCAGTTACATAATATTAATAGAATAGCTCAATTTCCTTCTTTAACATAAAAGGCTGCTGATTTGTTCTGATTTTTTTTTTTGCAGTAGATGTAGAATTTGTGAAATGATCGTTATTTGATAGTTTGAATAGAGACGGGAATGTTTACAGGTGGATGATTAGGCAGTTTTTTTTTTATATTTTGATTTTCCTGAAATATGTTAGAATGGTTTTGGAGCAGAAACTGGGCTTTGTCGGTAAACAAAGAAGGGTTTATGGACTTAAATGTACAAAACATACAAGATCTGTACACTACACTATCTCTTCAGTGACAGAAGGCCTATAGATATATAAATTTACGACCCCCATTTGATTTCAAATTTATAACGTATTTTTACGTCTCGGACATAGTAACTCTGTTTAAACAGACGAAGGATTTATGGAAGTAGGAACATAATTTTGCACTGTCTTTGTAAGATAAATGTTTGCACTGTTTGTATAGACAGACTCAGGGTTCGTCCCTAGAAACATCTAAAGCTATCTATCTACCCACAGAATGTGTCAGTCAGCAGTCTAACCAACAATTGACAATAGCAGCAGGGTGATCCATGGACACTAGGGGTTTAGTGTAGGTAGCAATGTTAGCCTTATGGTGCCATTAACTTTGTTTTATATTCTGTTATCAGGACTACCTGGCTTTTAAAACAGAAGTAGACAGACGTGAGAAAACTTTCAAAAAGTTAGAGGACAAAATCAAAACAAAAACTGCCCAGAGGATAACTCCAGAGCAGTGGAAAGAACTGGACACCAGGTGGAGCCAGGTGTATCGACAGACCAGGATGTGGCTCTGGAAACTGGACGCTAGTCTCCCAGGCCGACTCGGCAAGTTTGGTGACTGGCTGAACCAGGCCGAGGAAATAATGGAGTCCCAGCCAGAGGAGCTAGATAACCGCGAGGACATGGCGAACCAGCTGGCCAAGTTAGTGGGGGACCACAAGGTAGGTACCTCAGTGACTCAGCTGGCCAAGCTAGTGGGGGACCACAAGATAGGTACCTCAGTGAGTCAGCTGGCCAAGCTCATGGGGGATCACAAGGTAGGTACCTCAATGAACCAGCTGGCCAGGCGAGTGGGGGATCACAAGGTAGGTACCTCAGTGAACCAGCTGGCTAAGCTAGTGGGGGATCAAAAGGTAGGTACCTCAGTGAACCAGCTGGCTAAGCTAGTGGGGGATCAAAAGGTAGGTACCTCAGTGAACCAGCTGGCCAAGCTAGTGGGACCACAAGGTAGGTCCCTCAGTGAATCAGCTGGCAACACTAGTGGGGGACCACAAGGTAGGTACCTCAGGGAGTCAGCTGGCCACGCTAGCGGGGGACCACAAGGAAGGTACCTCAGTGAGTCAGCTGGCCAAGCTCGTGGGGGATCACAAGGTAGGTACCTCAGTAAGTCAGATGGCCAAGCTAGTGGGGGACCACAAGGTAGGTACCCCAGTGAGTCAGCTGGCCAAGCTCGTGGGGGAGCACAAGGTAGGTACCTCAATGAATCAGCTGGCCAGGCTGGGGGGGGATCACAAGGTAGGTACCTCAGGGAATCAGCTGGCCAAGCTAGTGGGGGACCACAAGATAGGTACCTCAGTGAGTCAGCTGGCCAAGCTATTGGGGGACCACAAGGTAGGTACCTCAGTGAACCAGCTGGCTAAGCTAGTGGGGGATCAAAAGGTAGGTACCTCAGTGAACCAGCTGGCTAAGCTAGTGGGGGATCAAAAGGTAGGTACCTCAGTGAACCAGCTGGCCAAGCTAGAGGGGGATCACAAGGTAGGTACCTCAGTGAATCAGCTGGCAACACTAGTGGGGGACCACAAGGTAGGTACCTCAGTAAGTCAGCTGGCCAAGCTAGTGGGGGACCACAAGATAGGTACCTCAGTGAGTCAGCTGGCCAAGCTCATGGGGGATCACAAGGTAGGTACCTCAATGAACCAGCTGGCCAGGCGAGTGGGGGATCACAAGGTAGGTACCTCAGTAAGTCAGATGGCCAAGCTAGTGGGGGACCACAAGGTAGGGACCTCAGTGAATCAGCTGGCCAAGCTAGTCGGGGACCACAAGGTAAGTACCTCAGTGAGTCAGCTGGCCAAGCTCGTGGGGGAGCACAAGGTAGGTACCTCAATGAATCAGCTGGCCCGGCTAGTGGGGGATCACAAGGGAGGTACCTCAGTGAGTCAGCTGGCCAAGCAAGTGGGGGACCACAAGGTGTATATTTTGCAGAATGAAAATCATCACCAGGGACCACAAGGTAGGTACCTCAGTGAGTCATCTTGCCAAGCAAGTGGGGGACCACAAGGTAGGTACCTCAGTAAGTCAGCTGGCCAAGCTAGTGGGGGACCAAAAGATAGGTACCTCAGTGAGTCAGCTGGCCAAGCAAGTGGGGGACCACAAGGTGTATATTTTGCAGAATGAAAATCATCACCAGGGACCACAAGGTAGGTACCTCAGTGAGTCTGCTGGCCAAGCTAGTGGGGGACCACAAGGTAGGGACCTCAGCGAGTCAGCTGGCCAAGCTAGTGGGGGACCTCAAGGTAGGTACCTCAGTGAGTCAGCTGGTCAAGCAAGTGGGGGACCACAAGGGAGGTACCTCAGTGAGTCAGCTGGCCAAGCTAGGGGGGGACCACAAGGTAGGTACCTCAGTGAGTCAGATGGCCAAGCTAGTGGGGGACAAAAAGGTAGGTACCTCAATGAATCTGCTGGCCAGGCTAGTGGGTGATCACAAGGTAGGTACCTCAGTGAGTCAGCTGTCCAAGCTAGTGGGGGACCACAAGGTAGGTCCTTCAGGGAGTCAGCTGGCCAAGCTAGTGGGGGACCAAAAGATAGGTACCTCAGTGAGTCAGCTGGCCAAGCAAGTGGGGGACCACAAGGTAGGTACCTCAGGGAATCAGCTGGCCAAGCTAGTGGGGGACCACAAGATAGGTACCTCAGTGAGTCAGCTGGCCAAGCAAGTGGGGGACCACAAGGTAGGTACCTCAGTGAGTCAGCTGTCCAAGCTAGTGGGGGACCACAAGGTAGGTTCCTCAGTGAATCAGCTGGCAACACTAGTGGGGGACCACAAGGTAGGTACCGCAGTGAGTCAGCTGGCCAAGCTAGTGGGGGGCCACAAGGTAGGTACCTCAGTGAGTCAGCTAGCCAAGCTAGTCGGGGACCACAAGGTAGGTACCTCAGTGAGTCCGCTGGCCAAGCTAGTCGGGGACCACAAGGTAGGTACCTCAGTGAGTCATCTTGCCAAGCAAGTGGGGGACCACAAGGTAGGTACCTCAGTGAGTCAGCTGGCCAAGCTAGTGGGGGACAAAAAGGTAGGTACCTCAATGAATCAGCTGGCCAGGCTAGTGGGGGATCACAAGGTAGGTACCTCAGTGAGTCAGCTGGCCAAGCTCGTGGGGGATCACAAGGTAGGTACCTCAATGAATCAGCTGGCCAGGCTAGTGGGGGATCAAAAGGTAGGTACCTCAGTGAACCAGCTGGCCAAGCTAGTGGGGGATCACAAGGTAGGTACCTCAGTGAACCAGCTGGCTAAGCTAGTGGGGGATCAAAAGGTAGGTACCTCAGTGAACCAGCTGGCCAAGCTAGTGGGGGATCACAAGGGAGGTACCTCAGTAAGTCAGATGGCCAAGCTAGTGGGGGACCACAAGGGAGGTACCTCAGTGAGTCAGCTGGCCAAGCTAGTAGGGGACCACAAGGGAGGTACCTCAGTGAATCAGCTGGCCAAGCTAGGGGGGGACAACAAGGTAGATACCTCAGTGAGTCAGCTGGCCAGGCTAGTTGGGGACCACAAGGTAGGGACCTCAGTGAGACAGCAAGCTAGTGGGGGACCACAAGGTAGGTACCTCCCAAGCTAGTGGGGGACCACAAGGTAGGTACCTCAGTGAGCCAGCTGGCCAAGCTAGTGGGGGATCACAAGGTAGGGACCTCAGTAAGTCAGATGGCCAAGCTAGTGGGGGACCACAAGGTAGGTACCTCCCAAGCTAGTGGGGGACCACAAGGTAGGTACCTCAGTGAGTCAGCTGGCCAAGCAAGTGGGGGACCACAAGGGAGGTACCTCAGTGAATCAGCTGGCCAAGCTAGGGGGGGACAACAAGGTAGATACCTCAGTGAGTCAGCTGGCCAGGCTAGTTGGGGACCACAAGGTAGGGACCTCAGTGAGACAGCAAGCTAGTGGGGGACCACAAGGTAGGTACCTCCCAAGCTAGTGGGGGACCACAAGGTAGGTACCTCCCAAGCTAGTGGGGGACCACAAGGTAGGTACCTCAATGAATCAGCTGGCCAGGCTAGTGGGGGATCACAAGGGAGGTACCTCAGTAAGTCAGATGGCCAAGCTAGTGGGGGACCACAAGGTAGGTACCTCAGTGGGTCAGCTGGCCAAGCAAGCGGGGGACCACAAGGTAGGTACCTCAGTGAATAAGCTGGCCAAGCTAGTGGGGGATCACAGGGTAGGTACCTCAGTGAACCAGCTGGCCAAGCTAGTGGGGGGTCACAAGGTAGGTACCTCAGTGAATCAGCTGGCCAAGCTTGTGGGGGACCACAAGGTAGGTACCTCAGTGAGCCAGCTGGCCAAGCTAGTGGGGGATCACAAGGGAGGTACCTCAGTAAGTCAGATGGCCAAGCTAGTGGGGGACCACAAGGTAGGTACCTCAGTGAATCAGCTGGCCAAGCTAGTGGGGGACAGCAAGGTAGATACCTCAGTGAGTCAGCTGGTCAGGCTAGTTGGGGACCACAAGGTAGGGACCTCAGTGAGTCAGCAAGCTAGTGGGGGACCACAAGGTAGGTACCTCAGTGAGTCAGCTGGCCACACTAGTGGGGGACCACAAGGTAGGTACCTCAGTGAGTCAGCTGGCCAAGCTAGTAGGGGACCACAAGGTAGGTACCTCAGTGAATCAGCTGGCCAAGCAAGTGGGGGACCACAAGGTGTAGATTTTGCAGAATGAAAATCATCACCATGGCTACAGAGAGACATTTAGTGTAAAGACACCACACGGTTCCCTTTATATGTAGTAAGTTAGGAGACTTTTATACATGGTAAACAATTATTAAGACAAAAACTTTTAGCTAATGTAGTTATCAGGTATATTGTTTGATTCTAGATTATCTGATTATATGATATATTGAATGATTAAATATCAAGTATCATCTTTTCTCTGTTTAGTTGTACATAATCTTTAGTAAAAATGTATAGAAATTTGACGCAAGTTAAAATCCGCTTCATCCTTAGTAACCTGAATTAATATTTTAAACTTTCAGGAGTTCTTCAAAGAATTGGAACCCTACAAACAGTTTTTCGCTCAAGTTAAGAAGTCCGGTCGCTATGATGGGGAGTATTTACCTGGGCCACAACTAGATAACCTAACACAGCGACTAAAGACTCTGTCAAATGAAGTTCCTGTACGAGAAAAGAAATTAGAGTTTAATGAGTCTCAGCAGAGAATTCTAGCTCTACGTGAGCCAACAGAAGCCCGCTTACAACACTGGACAGCCAAACTCGGCCGACAGATAGAAGTAGAACAGCTTCTCAATGACTACCAGGTTTGTCATCAAAATATATGTACAATTACTGGGTATGAAGAAATCCCTGCCCCATTACCATATATACAATTACTGGGTATGAAGATATCCCCGCCCCATTACCATATATACAATAACTGGGTATGAAGAGATCCCCACCCCATTACCATATATACAATAACTGGGCATGAAGAGATCCCCGCCCCATTACCATATATACAATTACTGGGTATGAAGAGATCCCCGCCCCATTACCATATATACAATAACTGGGTATGAAGAGATCCCC